GGAATGCTTTCTGACAGCCCTGCAAGCACAAGAGGCAGTTATAGGAAAACACAAATGGAGCTGAGTTCCAGCAGGAGATTCCCTTCCTTGCTGTCAGTTTTAGGGCATCTCTGCCATAGTGTGAGTCCTGTGATGAACACCCTCACGTGCTCTGGGGAGAGCTCCACATGAGCTGGGTGTGTGACAGGCCAGCTCTCACTGGGCTTTGGGGGTTGCTGTGGGGAGGGTCTGGCATTCCCAGACAGAGCTGTCTGAGCTGTCTCTGCCTGTGTCTGCACCCCCCTGCCCTGCACACACACAGCAGAGCAGACATGGAGCCAATAAGGCAGGCTGGGAGTACCTGACAGCCGTGAGTGGGCAGGAGCAAAACCAGTGGTGTGCATCCACTGGAAAATCTGATCCTGCTCTTCCCTCTGTGCTCAGAGTTGTCTGCCCCGATGTTTCTCTTTGCCTGAGCAACAAGCAATGATCTCTGTGCAAAAAAAAAAAAACCCAAAAAACTTTGGGGATGTGTTTTTTAGAGAGCAGAATTCTTCAAGCACCACATCTCTGAAAGCCTGCGTGGCTGTTTCTCTTAAGCACCATATGGTGAAAAAAAAGAGGAAAAATGTTAATCTGCAGTGGTACTAGGGCTGAATTCCTGCTTTGCTTGGAGGCAGCATGTGTCCTTCAGCAGGGAGACAAACTGTACAGAGCAGGATCATCACTTCAGTTGGCGTGTGTTGAGCCATCTGTATGGTGGCGCTGGGTCTCGAAGGCTGGGAGACAATCAGAATAAAACATGTTCATTACTCTGGTAGATCATTCTAAAAGCATTGGACATGCAGTTCTTTGTAAACACTTTTGTGCTCGAGAAGTTGGGAGCAGCTGTCCCTCCTCTTTGCCTTACTCAGCTGTTCTGGCTGTCTCTCTCTTCCCTTCTGTCTTTGGGACTCAGCTCCTGCCTGTTACTTTGAGAATGGCTTAAGTGGGTCTGGGTGAGTGGGGATTGTACATAAACATGTGTTTTGAAGATACCACCTTCCCATACTGCATGGGAAGCCCTGCTTGATACTTCTTTGCCCCCCCCTTTCTTTGCCTCCCCTTTCTTTGCCCCCCATAACTGTCTCATTACCAAGGTAAATTGTTCAGGCACACACTGCACAAAGCCAGGACACTGACACAGACCATTCCAGAGAGATGCAGAGAAGAGCTAAGACAGATGGATCAAGTTGGATTTCCACTCTAAGCTTCAGTGATTCCCTGCCAGGACAGGGCAGGAGTTAAAGAGCAAACCCAGTTAAAGCTGTAAAGAGAAGTCCTTTTAGCTGAGTTTTCAACTCCTGCCCTATGAAGCACTTCCTACCTTAATTCCTTCTGAAAGGTTCTGGGAAACATGAGCATAAAACAGAGCGTTGAGTTAAGTAAAATCTGAATATTGTGACATCCCTCCTGAGATAAATGACAGGAAAGAGACAGCTGACAACTAGGGCCTATTCAGGCAAGCTAAATTCTACCCAGCTCCCTTGTCAAGTGATTCCTCTTGTCTGGCTGCAGGCAGCTCCTCATGGAACATGCTCAGGTCCTTTGGCTGTTTCCAGGGGCCCCAAATTCTGCCTTGACCAGGCAGAGCAACTGGTGTGGGTTGACTGTGTTGCTGTGAAAGATGGCAAAGCTTCAGTGGGAGGTGTGGCTCTCCCTCCAGGGCAGGACAGGGAGGCACACCATCCCATATTTAAGGAATTTCCTCCTCCCAGGAAAGCTGGAGTGTGAAGCTGATGTGCATCAGTGGCTTATCAGACTCAACACAGAGGCTGGATGGGAGACACTGAGGTCTGGTGGGCTGCAAATAGATATATAATATATAGATATCTATATATATATATATAGGTATGAAATAGATATATAATATATAGGTATAAAACAGATATATAGGTATAAAACAGATATATAGGTATAAAACAGATATATAGGTATAAAATAGATATATATCTGTATGTGTGTGTTTGTGTGTGTGTTTGCAATTAACTGGATTTACTTACTCAGTGACACTTAAGGTTTCCACAGCAGCATGCCTTGCCCTCTGGCTGTGTCACAAGCTGACTGTTAATATGTTCTTGCCTTTTTTCTTATTTTTCCAGAGACCATTAATGACTTGACTTTTGGGGCTGGGGTCAGTTGCATCAGCCTGACGCACACACCCGATTCAGCTCCAGGCAAGTCATCTCTGGGATTCCAACTTGGGGGAAGTGGGGGGGGGGAAAAAAAAAAGAAACACCAAATGATCAAATCTGTGGCATTTTTTAAGATATGAAAATGTGTGTGTTCTTTGCAGAGAGCAAAGAGGATGAGGATGAGAAGCCGACTGACATTATCTGTTTGACATCGCTGGAGAAACTGTAAGTTCGGCACAGAAATTGCAGGGCGGAAGGCTGGAAATAAAGGCTTGGAAATAAACGGTGGTTCTGCTTCCTTCTTCCAGCCCGTGCCGGCCTCGGGAGTGGAAAGTGGAATCCCCAGCCAGGAGAAGGAGCAGCCAGCAGGTCCCTCTGCGCCGCTCCCAGCGCAGAACCCCCCGGAAAGCAGAGAACTGAGCCTTTCGCTGGGCCTGGGCACAGCATCACCCTGAAGCCTTCCCCTCTGCAATTATAAACTGGGAACACATGTCCTTCCTTATCTATCTATTCTTAGCTGGCTTTTCCACAGAACTGCCCGGAATATGGGCAGACAAAGCCTGCATTAGCACATGTATGGATTGTAAGCTGCTGCTCCTGACACAGCTCACTGGAGGGCTGGAAAGCTGCAGCATAAAGGGGGGGTTTTGCTCTTCACTCTCAGGATGTATAATTTGTCCATTTGAAAAAGTGAGGGCACAGTGTTGCTGCAATAAAATGCACTTATCACAGCTTGCTGGGCAGTGAGTGGCTGGGCTTATTCACCCCATCCCTCACGGTCCCTCTTGGTTATATAATAGTTACTTTAATTTGATGAAAAGGTAAAACAGCTTGTCACTGCCACACCCCTAAATCTGGTAATTGCACGCTACATCACCTCTTATTTGTTGTGCAAACTCCTGTGTGTATGAACAGCCTTAATGTTCTTTTTATATGGAATATTTCCATTCCTGAACTATGTTATTTCCAACTATTAGCATTTGATGAAAATAAATGGTTACAGAATTAATTCCGCCCACGCCGTCTCCCCTCTTGTTGAGCTGACAGAGAAATGATTTTTTTTTTCCTATAGAATTCTACAGCCTCTTAAGTCTCTTCTACCACATCATTGGTATCTTGGGCCCTCAGTTCAATTAACAATGTTGGACCCAGCAGCTTTTAAATAGAGACTCTGATTTATCTGCAATCAAATCATGGTGGGTAAGTCAGAGCTGTGTGTCCTGTGCAGGTAACTTATAAATGTGCTCTGGAAATGCTGGAATCTGACCATTCCCGAGTCTCCCTGATGCCACACTGAAGTTTTTCTGTGGTTACCTTCTATTGCAGAGCTCAAGCCCTGGATTTCATTGGAAGTTGAGACTGGGATCTGTTTTGTTCATGCTGGTTTGTCTTACTCAGGCTTTGCTGCACGAGTGGAAACGGGGGCACTTCCCTCCTGCCCTCACCTTCCCTACTCTGTTTTGGAGATCAGAGAAACCTTCCAGTGAGGTTAAACTTTATTCCCAAAATCAAAGTCAAAACCTGGGAACAGAGGATGGCCCTGGCTTAACTGATGGTCAATTATGGCCACATCCATTCATTCCATGCCTTTTCTCCTGCCTTAAATTATCATTTAACCACTCTGAGTGGTAAATTGGGATATCTTATTTCCTACTTTGTGCTTCTGTTGTTTTTGTTCTGTCCTCAAGCAGTGTTTGAGATGTGCCCTGTGTGCATTAATGAGTCTTCTCTAGGGAAGAACCAGTAATACACAAATGTCCAAGAAAAAAACTGATTAACAGCAACATACCTTGGACTTTGTCACCTTCATCCCAATACAAATAAGTGCATGCTCTGACAGAAGAGACTTCCCCTTATTTCACTGAATTGAAAACAGAAACCTCCCATAATCTGGCTGTTTAAAAACCACGCCCAAACCCAAACAAAAACCCCTACAAGAATGCTTTATAGCCTGGTATTTATGTAAAACATTCTTGGCAAAGTTAAACGTAATACATTAGTACAAACCTGAATATTATTCACAACAATACAATGAATTCCATCCATCAGCTCCCACGAGCTGCATGGGGAGGGGGACCACCTCCCCTTCTCTCGTTAGAGATGCCACTGTGCATTTTAGAACTGAAAATAATGGAAGTTTTGATTCTTGGCTTTGCTGGTTTTTCACAGGAAGGCTGCCTGGTGAGACTGTGGATTGTGCTCCCATAGTGCCCAGAGCTACCCTGATTCATCCCTTTCCTCTCTCTCCCTTATTACAGGTATCCTTGCAGCAGCACAGAGAAGGAGCAGTGGATATCCAGAGGGTGCAAAGGAATGTCAGGATGATTAGAGGCAGCAATCAGGACTGGCTGGCTTGGCTGAAGAGCTTGTCTTAAGAAGGTTACCAGAGTATAGTTGCAAAAGAGCAGTGGTAATGCCTGAATTACACAGAGAGCATCTGGTTATTGCTGCCCCATCCTTATTTTCACTTTCCTCAGCAGAAGGACGAGTGGAAATGCTTTGTTTAGGCAAAACAAATGCAGCAATGGCATGTCCAGCGAGGGCCTTTAGGAAAGAAAGCAGAGTAATGCAGAACACTAAAAAAATAACACTGACAGTCCAAATCGTCAAGTATCCAAAATACTGTATACAGGAAAAGTTAAGACAACTCAATTTATATTGGAAATACAAGAACACTAAATTATGCTACATTAAAAAACTTCTTAAACCACAGCACAGTTCTAGTGTTGCATCCACATCTTGTATCACCCATTGCTGTTCAACACCATCAGGGTGGGTGTTTTCATGTGTTTCCAGCTATTCTCTCTCAAGCCAAAAGAACCAAATTAATTTTTTTATTTTTTTTCTTTTACCACCTAGAGAAAAGTTTCAGCTGACACCAAGAAAGTGCTTTTGTGTCGTGCTTTTGCCTTCCCAACCCCAGAAACAGTGGCCTTGGCCGTGTGAGCTTTAAACCTGTCGGGTTGCTGTAGCTGTCACACTGTTTTAGTGCTTTAGGGAACTTGCAGAGGGGCAGCAAACATTGAAGTCACTCTGTCACCTCGTTGGAACTGAATCCAAAATAGCCATCCCTGGATATTTCTTGCAACAACAAAAACAAAGTGTTGGTCACTGGCAAGAGAAGTTTTCTATATAAAAAAAAAAAAGTTGATAGCTCCTGCCGTTAAATTTACAAAAACTATCCCTGAGTGACTCTGTTCTGTGTCTGGTAAGACCTCTTGTGACAAGGAAATGGCTGAAGCTGGTTTAAGAGGAAAGAGATGCTGTTCCACCTGCAGCTTTTTAATACAGTTTGCACTAATACTGATATGCTCTGACAGTGCCATATTATAGCAACAGTTGAGCTCCTCTCTGTAGCTTCAACAGTAAAAAAATAGCTCCGTTACTTAAACACTGCTGGCATCACGTATTTACACTTTAAATAGAAATGTTACCTTTTTCTGAAGTAATCAAAATAGATCTTTGCAAAAAATTTAGAACGTGGGGTTCTACAAAAGAAACGGAGAAGGTAAAAAAAGCTGGAAGATATCTCAGTACCTTTTATGGCAATCTCAGCCTAGGAAAAAGTATTTGGCTTTAATTTTCCTGAAAGGGATGTCTCAGCACTCGTTCTGTGCCTCCCCTCTAAGCCTCTTTCAGCACGGAAAGACTCAGGAGGCAAGTCTGCTTTGTGCAGATTAGATGGAGGGGTTACCTGCGTGCAATGAGCTCTCTACAAAGCAGGGAACAGAAGCAATCCTGGCCTGGTGGGTCATCATGTTAAATAACAAGAATTAAGTTTACACAGGGGCTGAGAACATTAGTGGTGTTCGCTGTTGGCTGTTCAGAGACACCCCCCCTGCTCCTGAGCAGTCAGAGTCGAGCACAGGACAATCTTTTACACACAAATGTGTAAAAGTCACCAGCCAGGCCTGGGCAATGAGCTGCTGGGAGGAAAAACCCCCCCCTTGCATGGATAAATCTCGCTCTTTGAAGTCCATCTACTGCTGTATCAGCACCTTTTTTTGTCTACTAGTAACACGTACTAGCAATGTCTACTGCACGTTTACCTAATGCTGTCCCCCTGGGTGGTTTGCACATTGTGGCCGTGTCCCTGCAGCACAAATAGAAAGGCAATGCCACAAACTTCCACAGCCCAGTCTCTTGGGAAGTATTAGAATGCTTCCTTAGTCCAAGGACAGGTTTAGGTGATCCTGTTGGTATCTCCAGAGGCAGGGGAGACGCGAGTTGGGCAGTGAGGAGTTACTTTAAACTTTGGCAAAGAAAAAAAAGATATACAGATAGCTAGCTATCGAGTTCTTGTGTGTTCCAAACTCTTCCAAGCGCACTTAATTGATCTTTTGCTCTCGCTTTTGAGTTCCTGGAGGAGGTATTTTCACACTTTTGCTGGTTTTGCAGTATTCTTTTGGTGTCCTATATGACGAACGAAGACTTGTGTCTGAAGTCGCCCTGCAACGAAACAGTTCGGGGTGGAGGAAGGATTTAGGAGCTTTCCAGGCATTTTCTTGTCATTCCTGCTGCCCCCAGAAATGTAGATGCAAAGTGTTTATAAATAAGAGTGCTTTTAGGGAGCCCCATCTTCCAGCTGGGAAGGAGAGGGAGGCACCAGTTGCACTGGTGAGTTGCTGCCTCCTCCTCCTCCTGTCCTCACACAGCAAGGCATGGCAGGGGACTTTCCCATTCCCTCATCAGTATCTCTGCTAATGGGAGAGGCTATTTCTGGTCTTAAGCTTTAGTGATCTGCTCAAATCCCAAAATACAAGTTCTCTCGTAAAAAAGCATCATGTCCTGCCCACTTAATCCAATGAAACTCATCCCCAGGGGGTCAGGCCACGAGATAACTCAGAGCAGAGCTGCCTCTGATAGCTCCTGGCATCAGTCACTTCAAGCAACTTAAACTGTTCATCATTTCCAAGGAAATGACTCAGCCTTCACCCTTCTGTTTTCCCTGTGTTCTCCAGCCTTGTTTCAGAGTGGAGCCCACTCTGAGAAAGTCTGTGGGCCCCAAAAAAGCGAGTTGTCCCTCTGCCCACCCTCCTCCTCTCCTTTTAACAGAGAGATGTTAAATGCAAATCATTTGTTACCTCATCATCTGTCCGGATATAGTTAACGCCATCAGGTTTTGCTGGAGTCTTGTAGCTGAAATAAAGGGGGGGAAAAAAAAAATCTCATTTCTGCGACAGGAAGACTGCAGGATTTTGGAGGGGAGGTGCTGAGAAAGATGGAAATGAGGAGGAGCAGCTGAATGAAAAGCAAGCAGAGAGAAACCCAGTTTGTTTCTCAAATGAGGGGTCTGTGTTTATTCCATCATTTGCCATGACTGGGATTTTTTCTATTTCCCCTTCAGCACAGGGTAAAAAGATTGCTGCCTGTTTCCACAGGACTCTGCAAAGAGATTAACTGGTTCTTTTCTGGGCTCTCCTGCTCTGGTCCCTGTCACTACCTTTCTGTGCCTCCTGCACTGTTTCCTGTGGCAATTATAAAGTTCATTTCAATCCTTCACTGCCAGATGCCTTCAGCATTTTTCTTAGTTATAGGGAAGCACCACTTGTTTGCAATCCCACAGGAATGCAGGATTTATATACGACTGTCAGGTCCAGTGGATGCCAACCCTCAGCTGCATTTAAATAGGGTATTTGGAGCTTTCTCTGAAAAACAAACCAAACCAGAGAGGAAAAAAAAAAAAGAAAGACAGGGCTTGTGCTGAAAAGCAACATTTAGCACAGAACAAATCTATCTGGTGAGAATCTTGGGTTTACATATATTATCTCTTCCACAGACTCCGTAAGGACATCGAGGCTTGTCTCTGATGCTATTGCTGTTGTTTTTAACATTTTAATGTGTGCTGTAAAGTGGTTGTTTTTCACCCCAAATTTAGGTTCTCACAAGTAGTGAGATTTCCTGTGCAGAGCCTACTCTGCTGCATACATTCCCTATGCATGTCCTGATGCTTCCAACTAATTGTGCAGCGAGCTCTGATCATCAAACTGAAGACCTCGTTATGCCAGCAGCACATGATCTATTGGAAAAACACCTGTAGGCTTTTAATTGTGCTGGTCCCCCCCCTTCCCGTGCAAATTATGAGGATATTAGAGCACAGCTTTCATCCTCTGGCTGGTGTTGGCAGCAAGCACAAGAGCAGCCACACCAGAATTCTCCCTTAAGTGAATACTGTCCATCCATGGAAGTGTTCAAGGGCAGGTTGGCTGGAGCTGTGAGCAACCTGGTGTAGTGGAAGGTGTCCCTGTCCATGACAGGGTGTTGGAACTAGATGATTTTTAAGGTCCTTTCCAACCCAGACCATTCTGTGATGATTCTGTAAGATAAACCTGGATGGTGCAGGGTTTACAGCAGGGAATGAGATGCCTCAAGGACTGGGGTTGGCCTGTAGGCTTTGGTAGGGGATTGGGAAGATATATATCCAAGTCAGGTGTTAAAATTCCAATTTTTGGTGCCCTTCAGCCTCCTCCATGGTGGCTGTGGGTGCAGGGACCTGTCCAAGAACACCTGGGATCCCATCTTACCTTTCCCCGCTCTCTTTGCCGTTGGCAAAGTATCCCCTCCTGTAGGCACAGCAGATCCCAAAGGTGATGAGCACCAAAACTGCCAGGACCACCAGGACTCCCCCGATTATCCCACCGATGTTGAGGTCATCTGGCAAAGAGAGAAGCCACCATCCAGTATTTCTTTAAGGCAGCAGTGACATTCTAGCTTTACATACACTAAAACGACACCTCTCAAATGTTTTAAGCAAACCCCAATAATTCATGGTGAATCCTTGGTTTCAAGACTAAATCTGTTCATGACCTCAACAGTGTTTGAATGTTTCCCTGAATTTTTATATTATTTTTCTTCCTCCTGTGTTTGGGGCTATGAGAAAGCAGGAAAGACTTAATGCTCTGTGGTGCCCCCCCTTCATTCCTTGTGGTGATGGCAATTTATTTATGGTGATGTATCAACCAGCACTGATGAAAACTGTCTGTAGAGCCACTCACAGACTTCCATCTCCTGCTCCTCACACTTGGCAAAGCCAGCATCATTTGTTGCTATGCAGAAGTAACGTCCTGTGTCACCTTTGTGCACTGCGTGGAAAACCTGCCGAGGAGAAAAGGATAAAGGGAAGGGAGCAGGACATGAGAAACAAGGCACTGTGAGGGCATAAAAACATATCTAAAAATGCATCTCTCCTGAGCTTCATGGTGAGACATCTTCCCTCTTTCTAAACAGGTAAGTGGCATCAACAGTGATCAAAATCAATGGACCAGGATGTCCTTCCATCAGTCTTCCCTTTCCCACCTCACCCAGATCCTAGACCACCTCACCACCTTCAAATTATTCCTTCCTCAAACACCTCTTTTTCTTTTATAATCGACCTTAAAAATAACCTATCCAGCAAAACAAGCCTTGATGACGTCTGTCAGGGCATTACCAGAGTGCCTGTGGCGGGGTTCAGGGTGTAGGAGGAGTTGTGGGGTTTGGCTTTCGTGTCGGGTGACAAAGGTTCACTGTTGCGGTACCAGCTGTAAGTGGACTTTGGGAAACCTTCATTCTCGTGGCAGTGAAGAGAGGCTGACTTGCCAACAGGTACAGCTTTAGGCACAGTGCATCTGGGAGTCATGGGTTTCACTGTGGGGCGACACAAAGCAGGTGAATGGCACCGGGCTGAGCAGCACTAAGTCATTTCTGACCTACTTTCCATAACCGTGCTAAGAAAGCGTCAAAACTTTCTGTTATTTGCAGTTTGGACGCTGGAGAGACCCACGGCCCCTTCTGGTCCCTCTTGCAGAGGTGTCTGGGTTGGGGGTGGTACCTTGGACCGTGAGCTGGATGTTGATCTCGTCGATGCTTTTGGTGTCGGAGGGCGCTGCCACCTCGCAGCGGTACGTGGCCGTGTCCATCCGGGTGGTGTTCTTGATCACCAGGGATGTCCGGCTCAGGATCTCTGCCCGGGTCGCAAAGTCTCCTGAGACAGAGGAAAGAGACAGGAAAGAAACCAAGGGAAGTCACACAGGCTGGTTTTGGGCATATAAATTAGGAGGTTGAACTCTGGAGTCAAGGGTACAACCTAAAAGGAACTTGATGCCTGAAAGGCCACAAAGGAAAGCAATGCTGCCAACCGTGGAAGAGGATGGACTGGAAAGCACCATTCCAAATCTCACAAAGAGTGGCAAAATCCAACTTCCAAGACAGCCTCGGGCCTTGTCTCCTTTGGAAGATTCATTTGGATGTGGCTGTTGGTCCCATCTAAAGTGCTGGAGTAACTCCAGATGGAGTCAGGCCCTACTGGCATTGGAGTTTTCCTACCAAGCCAAGGAGTTTGCTTCTAATCTCGTGCTCCCGGGATGCTGCAGAGCCCTGTGCTGCCTCAGCAGTGGGCACTGACAGCTCCACACACACATCCCTTCTGAAGGGCAGGTGGAGCCCTCGGATGTCACACGGAAAGACAGGAGGGGTCAGTGCCTGCTCCTGAGAGCTCAGACACCCAGTGACCACACAGGGCCCAGCAGGCTCTGCACCAGGGAAGCTGCAGCATTTGCTTTCCTACCCAAGAAGTATCTTTTACCTTCTCCAGCTCTCTGTGGCTCCCTACTGTGACCTGTCAATAATGAAGGCAGGGAGGAAAGAACATCCTGCTCCCTCTCCATCCTGCACTTTGACTGCTGGACTCTGTTCCAGAAGAAAGCAGCAAGACAGCCAGAGCTCCAGCCTTTCACAGCCTTGTTTGTTCTCCATTGTGCTGCTTCTGAGGCTGTTTTGGAAATCTAAGAGCAAAGAACCTTCATACCCTGCATTTTATTGTCAAAAAAGACGTAAGAGGTTTCTCCGTCTCGGATTTTCTTCCACTCGATCCTGGGATCTGGCGTCACAGTGGATTTAATGATGCAGGACAGCTCAACACCTAGCAGGAGAAATAATGGGAATACAGATTAATAGGAAGCAGCTGTATTTTTGCTCTGCTTTAGGCAGCCTCACTCGGTGTGTTATTAGGAGATGCTGCCCACAAAGCAGAGCCTTCCCTTTCATCTGACAAACAGAAACACTGCTGGGTTCCAGGAGCTATTGGGGAAGATGGATTTTGGCCAGCAAAAATAATAGTCAAGCAGCTATCAACTATGGAGAGGAATGAACACACTGTTCCCTGCAGGCTGTGACTTATGGCAAACAAGCCCTGATGACAGGGTGAGCCCACAGCACTGTCCTGCTGCTGCTCTGAGCTGCAGCCTGAGTCAAGGAGGCACAATCTCCCTGGGCAGTGTCTGGTGATGCACTGAGACCATGACTCCTGGGGATAAATCCAGAAAACACCCTCCCCTTTGAAGCTGGCACCGGCATCTCATCTGTACAGAACAGGGCACGAGAGGTGGCTTCCCAGAATCCCAGTGCAGGTTTAAGAGGACCAAGATAAAATATAAATCTCCCGACTCCCTCTTCAGTGTATTAATTGCAAGGCAACTGCTTTTCCTTCTTTTGGGATCCAGTTCAACAAAGCACTTAGGCAGACACTTGGCAATGCCAGTGGCTCGCAGGGGGCCTCGATAAACCATTTTAAACGGGGTGAAACAAAGACATGTTTTTAGGCACTTCTCTGAATCCCAGGCTCTCGTGGTCCTGCCTCCCACAAGAAACCAAATGCCAATAAGAATTTTCCCCAATTCTTTGGCCTGGTGCAAATCCCCACAGGCAGCACAGCCACTCACTCTGGAATTCCTGCACCACGGGCTGGGTGTTGCTGGATATCAGCTCCACAGCCAAGAGTCTGCAGCCTGGAAAAACAAACAGAAGGTAATAAGAAATAGCACAGCTCATAAGTCACCCAGCTAGAAACACGTTGCCTGCTGAGAAATCAACTCTGAGGGCTGGCTTCCCCAGATAAAACCTTTTCCTGGCTACTAACTCTGCTCCAGCAGGACTAAGTTTATTTAGGAGTTGTGGTGTAAATACAGGAAAATATAATTGTTAGAAGTAGCAATTAAAGAGGAGGATTAACATAATGGCACAAAAGCAGTGACAGCATGAGCCATTTCCTTGTGCCTTGTGCTTATTTAGATGGTAAAAGAACTCTGATAATGCAGGAGTGAAAGTCTTTATTTTGCAAATGAATTTGGTGGTCAGGAAAAGGGAGGAAGCAGAGCAACCTCCAGAGATCTGGTCAGTGCCTGGAAATGGAAAGTGCCAGGCCTGGCACATAACACATGCTGATGACATCTGAAGGGTTTTAAGCGTGGTAATGTAAAATGTGAGGTAATAAATCATGAAAGGGGAAGACAGGAGTTCAGCTGTGAGACTCTGTACCACCAGCTTGCTTGTTCCCTTCTTGCTCTGAGCACCAACGTGTTCCCAATTAATCCAGTCATTTTCCCTCCTTCATGTGTTATTTTGTTTTGAAAAATCTGCCTCCCATGTCCCTTCTGTTGTTCATTCCACCAGAGCAGGTACCAACAACACTCATATTCTGCTGGATACCAAACTCACCAACAGGTCCCTGGAGGGAGAAGGAAACAAGCAGGGAGTGCCTGGCGTGGCACAGGAGGAAGAAAGTGAACCAAACACCTTAATCACAGAGGCTATTTTGGGTCTGGGTGTTCTGGCTGTTGCAAAGCCTCTCAGTCAGGCTCTGGTGTTCACAAATCCCGCTGCTCCAAAGCCCTGTCTCATACAGGAGGAGGACACACACCTTAATTAGTGCCAAAATAATCAGCTGCAGGGGTCTGCCGTGGCCCCTCGTGCAGCTCTGCTGTGCCAAAGCCCATCAGAAGCTCGTGGAAAGCTCAGGGAGGATGGATGATGGATGCCCACTGACCTGGCTGGGCATCGATCACACAGCAGGTTAAAGATGATGGGAACTGGTACCTCAGTGACACGAGATGCAGCTAAAGGTTTGGACTGTCTCAGGCAGAGTAAAACATCATAACAAGCATGAACAGAAAGCAGGAAAGGTAGCTGAAGGGAGATGTGGAGAAAGAAATGATCTTCAGCATCGTGACAAATAGGTGGATATTCCTCTGCTGGCTTTCAGGGTGGGAAGCTTTTGGAGAGAGACCCTGACAATGCAGAGGGGAAACTCCTCTGGTGGAGTGGCTCAGTCTAAGAGAGCAAGGCAGCAGTCTGAGAAACACTCAAGAGCTGCACAGGCACTCCCACTGAAAGCTCGAGGGCCTTAAACACCTAAAATCCTTCCAGGAATTTTGAAATGTTCTCTGCTGATTCCTGTCCCTCATTGTTTGCTTTCCTCGGAGCCCCGGTGCCGATACCCCGAAGACCACCAGGGAGAGCTGAAGTTTGGCAAGGTTTAGAAGCTGCCTTTGTGTACAAAAATCATTGTTACTCACACAAAAGCCACTGGCTGATGCAAACTAACAGTTGGCCTGGCCAAAACTGCTCTTAGCAGGATCTTTCCACCCTTCCCTCTTCTGCACTAGAGACAGTCATGCAGCATTTGGGATTAATCCAATATGGAGCTAAGATGACAGTGCTCTGGACTGTGGCCTGGACTTTAATGTAGATATTTGGGAGAAGTCTCTGTTCATCACAGAATCACGGAATTGGTAGTGTTGGAAGGGACCTTGGAGCTCATCTCATTCCACGCCCTGCCATGGGCAGGGACACCTTCCACTATCCCAGGTTGCTCCAAGCCCTGTCCAACCTGGCCTTGGACACTTGCAGGGCTGGGGCAGCCACAGCTTCTCTGGGCAACCTGTGCCAGGGCCTCCCCACCCTCACAGGGAAGAATTCCTTCCCAACATCCTATCTAAACCTGTTCTCTCTCAGTTTGAATCCATTCCCCCTTGTCCTGTCACTACATGCTCTTGCAAGAAGCCCTTTGATCCTCTCAGGTGTTCTGTCTGTGATCCTTGCTTTGCTCCCTGGAGAGCATGGACAGATTTCACTGATCCCAGCAAACCCCCAGAGCACTGGGAGTACTTAGTCCCAGAAGACAAGACTTTTGGGAAAACCCTTTTGAAACCTTTGGGCGTATTTTCAACAGCAGTGTAGGGATCTTCATACAAACAAGGCATTCGGTGGCCTCTGCTGTTCCTGCTTCTGGAACCAAGGGAGAATTAATGGAGAGCCCAGCTCTGAGCACTCAGCTGATCTGAGGAGATGCTGGTTGGCCTCCTGCTCAGGACAGGTGGCTCTAATAAGGAATTTGGCTCAGCTTTCAAAAAGGGGGAAGCTGTGGGCTCTGCTTTCTTCAGAGACAGCACCATCAGGGAACTGAGTTATGGAAACAACTTCCAAGTGATGGGACCCTTCCAAAATCTGCAGAGCACCTGAAGAGCCACAGAAGGCACCTTCCACAGCATCTGCCTGGTCAGTGCTACCCTATATATCTTCCTCTTGGAAAAACTAGAGAAAGAAAGAGAGGGAAAGGTTTCCTCGTTCCTTAAAGGAAACTTGTACCAGTTTGGGGTTTGTTATGGATTCTTGCTTACACAACATAATTTTTCAGAAAAATGGTGCCCCATCAAAGAGACATCATGATAACAGTCCTGCTGAGGTACATCTGCTGCAGCTACAATATCAGCTCAGTTGTAGGAGGGGATGGTAAAACCACAGTGTTGTGCTGCTCTGAGGGAGTTATGCCTCCACAAATGTTCACTCCAAGACAGTGGGACTCCATCAGCTCCAGCCCCATCTCACTGCTCAGAAATTGTTCACAGCAGGCTTTTTCTCACCCACTAAACACAAGAGATTCAGGTCTATCCCTCAGGCACGAAGCAGGATGACAACAAATTTTAAGGCAGAAGCTGAGTCCTTGGAGACTGTGAGAGGCTCTGACATTATTACGTGTATTGACCGTGGGCAGAGATCAATGTGGCTCCTTAAATCACTGCTAAGACAGATTTATTCTCCTCTCTGTGGCAGAATGCTGCAAGTAGCATGTTCTAAATTACAAGAAGGCGACAGCAAACCAAAACACAAACCTCAAGTGACCATACAGACTGCAGAGCAGGGGCAGAGTGCCTTAATAGCTCTTCTTAGCATTATTTTTGGGTATGCCTTGTTCTCCAGTCTCCCTGGAGCCGCAGGAATCTTCACCAAGCCAGTGCTCCCCAGATGTCTGTAAATCAGTGCCAGGGTGATCCCTGCCCTGTCCCATTTCCCTGCTGTGGGCAAGGGTTGTCCCTTCGGTGACCACACTTAAGGGTTGCTTTGTTTTGAGTGTTAAATCATCTTTAGTGCTTAAGCCACCTTTTGAAAGGAGTGTTCCAAAGGTGTTCCTTTAGGCCTCTTTTAGCCCAGTGCAAATAAGCAGCAAGGGTTTGGTGTTATGTAAATCTCACTTCAAAGGCACCCAGGGTTTGGAGAACAGCAGGAATAGCCATGAATTCCTGTTCCAGAGCAGCATATGTGCCACAGCAGAGGCACCTACCAGGTCTGTATGTTCTACACCCCTGAATTCCTCCCAGATCCGTATGTTCAATATCCCTGAATTCCTACCAGATCTGTATGTGCTGCATCTCCCAGTTCCTACCAGATCTCTGTGTGCTGCATCTCCCAAATCCTACCAGATCTGTATGTTCTACACTCCTGAATACCTACCAGATCTGTATGTGCTACAGAATCAGCCAGACATATGGTTGAATCCCAAATGTCATCAGTCCTCCAAAATAGAATCCAGGACAAGGCAGTGAAGTCTATAGCATTTTCTTATGGCACTTTTTTTTTTTTTCAGCTAAAGAGATCCAGCCCATGCTTGTTACTGTGACTCATGTTATCTGAATCATTTTAAAATGCTATACTGAAAAAAAAAGCAGCTTTATAGACAACTTGATGTGTTAAATCTCCTCTCTCTGAACCGTTCAAAGCCAAGCCTGACCTTCCATCTCTTTCCATCCCCGTCTCTGTTTGAAAACTCCAGGCAGAAACTTGAAGAGGGGGTGAAGTGTTCCTGAAGAACTGCAGGCAAAGTAAAAGGATGACCAGGAAACAGTTGGGATGAGTTGCTGCCAACAGCCTGTGCTGCAGCATCGCTCGATATCGCGGTTATCTGATACGGTAATTTTAGTTAATGCACTGTCAGGCACAAGCAGTACAAAAACCACGCAGCTGTATTTAAACACCTGCCCACTAAACCAACAAAAATATGCCTTGCTTGAGGTGTCCATCATCACTAAGCCCTTGCTTGATTTGCAATTCAAAGCGTGTCTAAGCCATGTGGGAATGCTGCGATAAACCACACGCCTTGTTAAGCATCTTGGCTCTCCGGGTGGTTACTCAGTGTAGCAGGAGAGCTACTGAGCCAGTGATATGTTGTTAGGTGTTAAAACGTGTTAGCTGAACCCTCTGCAGGTCGGCACGTTGTTGGCTGCCAGTTTGGAGGTGCCCCTGGAGCATCCATCCCCACGCTGCCCAGGCAGGAGAGCTGTGAGGGACAGCAGCTCCCAGCACTGTCCCTGCCTCCCAGGGGCTGTGTGTGAGTGCAGGGAGGAAGCTGATGGTGAAATGTGGGGGAAAACCCCAGAGGAAGAGCGGAGGAAGCCAGGCAGAGCTGGGCTGGGTAAGACAAGGAAGGGGGAGGCCAGGTTTCTGCCCGCAGCTTATTTTGAGGAAATCACCATAAGCCCTTTCAGGAACATCTGACCATCTGCCTCGAAATATCCATCCTTTTGTCTCCCAGAGCTCCAGGCTCTTTATCCCCCCTCCTCTGTATCCCCAGTGTGTCTCTTTGTGATCATACAATGCAACTTGTGCCAGGTGGTGCAGGGCAGACAACACAGCATGGCACAGGAATGAGAGACCGGTGTGTTTGGCATTTTTTGGTTATATTTTGGGGGATTTTTTTTGTCTGTTCTTTGGAGCTT